ACGACTTGACAAACTCGAGGACAACCGGCGGTGACGGGTGCGCCGGCACAGGGACCGACGCCAGCGAGCCGGACGTCGGCCGTGCTATGACCTGGGTCTGGAACGCGTACCCGGTCGTCGTCACCTTGGCATCACGCTCGTAGGTGACGTGCTGGTACGTAGTCGCTCTGATCCGAAGCGTTGCTGGATCCGACGCCGACGTCGCGTAGTAGACGTGCGAGTCTGGCGCGGCTACGGTGAGCCCGGCTTCGCCAGAAGCGCCCGGGTCACCGTAGCTACTGCCGAGAGTGGCAGCCTCGAGCTTGAGGGTCACGCCCGAGTAGATCCGTCCGGCATAGTCGATGGTGGTGGTGGGCGAGAGGGTCATGTCGCACCCGGAAGTGCACTCCCACACTACCCGACAGGTCTGCAGGCCGACGAGCTCGCAGGTTGAGGTGGAGGTCATGGCTGAGTTCCAGCCCGAGGTGGAGATGGTGACGCCGGAGCCGCACGATCCGTCTGGAGCGACACACCAGTTCGAGCCGGTGTCGGTCCGCACAAAGTCGAGCGAGGCGCGGATGGCTGTGTGAAAGGTGTCATCAGTGATGTGGCCAGGCGGAACGGCGCCGAAGCCCTGTGCGCGAGTGACTGTCGCGTTATCGTACTGGAACTGGACGAAGAAGATGGCGACAGCAACGATGGTGGCGCAGATGAGGAGGACGGTCATGGCTGCGCCGAGACAAGTTTTGCGGGCGCGGAGGGTGCGGGAGCCCGGCATGGTGTCGGTGCGAGAGACAAGAAGGTCGATCCGGTCCCAGAGCTGCGCTCTGGTCACGGGTGAGGCGCGCCAGGCGACAATGGCAACCAGGCCACAGAGAACAAGGGTGGAGCAGGCAAAGGCCAGACCACCAAAGACGAAAGCCCGGTAGACCTTGTTGTTGTCGGCGAATCGCGACTGGGGAAACCAGTGGGCGCGCGCGTACGAGACCCGGGCCATGGCGACGACTGGCGGGTACGGCGTGGCGAGGCCCGATGCGGGGCAGAGCGCGGCCGAGGCGCAGCTGTCGCAGACAGTATGCCCCTCGTTCGAGACGGTACCGGGCGGGCAGGCTGTGCAGTTGGCAGCAGCAGTGGCCGAGATGTAACCAGCATCGCATGGTAGGGGCGTTGTGGTGCCAAGCGGGCAATAGGTGCCGGGCGAGCAGTCGTCGCAGACAGTGGCGGCAGCAGAGGCGATGGTACCTGGCGAGCAGGGCGCGCAAACGCCGCCGGTTGAAATGGTGTTGCCCGAGCATAGAATGCAGGCATTGGTGGAAGCATCAAGTCGGAAGCCAGACGTGCATGGCAGCAGTGGAAGTGACACAAAGATCAGCTCATTGTCAGTGCCGACAGCCATTGTGACCGACGAGGCGGCGAAGAACTGGCCAACAATGTCAGAGCCATCTGAGGCCCGGATGTAGATAGGGCTACAGGTACCGAGATCGAGCTCGCAGATGCCAATGGCCACGTGGCCATCGCTAGTTGCAGGGTTGACGTCCTTGTAGGCGACGACGAGCCAGTCAGAGGTGAACACATCTAGATAGGCGACTTCGCCCGGGAGGGCAGCGGCCTTGAGCACGCATCCAGATCCGTCGAGGGAGCAAGCGGCAAGATCGAGAAGTGTCTCATCGGCATTTGAGATCCCCACAAAGAGCTGTGTGGGTGTGGTGACGGCGGTTGGCCGCGAGTACGCATACGACGGCGACTCGAACAGCGTGATGGTGTTGCACTCCGATCCGTCAAACTCACATAGCGTGTGTATGACAGACTCACTGGACGTTGTCAAGATGCGCAGGCCCGATGCATCGGCTGCGACGTTGAACATGTCCGAGACGTCAGCAGAGCACGAGTGTGGGCCACTGAGCGAGTCGGCCTCATCGACGGAGAGATACTCGCAGTTGCCGTCATGGTTCAGGACAAGGTACTGCACGTTGTTGTGGGTGATGCCCATAACTTCGCCAAGGTTGGAGAGGAGAGTGCCATCGGCAATGATATCGATCATGGTGCATCCCGACACAGGCACATCGCATTTGACCCTCTTGACAGCAGTGCCGATGATGCACAGGCCCCAGACCGAGGTACCTGACGAGGAGAGCGACCACGAGTTGTGCAAGTTGGGCGAAAAAGTTGAAATGTCGATGACAACAGCGACACAGCCTGTACCATCCTGATTGCACGCTTGGTACTCCAATGTGCAGGTACCATCATAAGGCTCAGTCGCGCGGGCCATCAGAATGCCCAGATCAGAGCCTGGCAAGGGTGTCACCACTGATGACAGCTGAGAGCCCGAGGGACCGTTGACTTCGGTGGCCACACCAGCCGAGGTAGTTATAGCGAGCAGAGAGAGAAAGAGAAGAGCGGAGAGAGTTTGAAGTGTTTGCATGGTGGTGGTGGTAGTGGGCAGGGGGCAGGGGGGGAGACAGGGTGGAAGTGGAGTATATATGTGTATGTATGTGTGTAGGCTAGAGGGATGGGGGTGACGGCGTGGGTGGGAGGGGGGATGCGCGTGGGTGTCCTTTTTTTGGAATATGATCATTTCGGCACAATTGGGGAGCGGATGGAATGGGAGGGGGGGGGTTGTATGGAAGGTGATGTGTGTATATATATATATGTGTGTGTGTGGGTATGCGTGTGTATGTGTGTGTGTGTGTGTGTGTGTGTGTGTGTGTGTGTGTGTGTGTGTGTGTGTGTGTGTGTGTGTTTGTATGTCTGCGTGTGTGCGTGGCGGGAGGGTTTTGGAGGTCACGGCAAGGCGGGGCTCATGGTCTCGGCCGTGCCTTCCGCAGATTAGGCGAA